GTGTGGGGTGGGGACACGGGGGGGGCGGCACAGACCGGCCCGGGGGCACCTGGACACATGCGGGACACGTCTGTGGGGACAGGGGACATGTGCCACGGGCGTGCGGGGACACAGACGTGTGGGAACACGTGGTGTGGGGACATGGGAACGCGTGGGGCCACACATGGGACGTGTGCAGGGACAGGAGACATGGACACGTGTGGGGACGTGTGTGGCCGGGGGGGACACGGACTGGCCTGGGGACACCAGGACATATGTGGGACACGCGTGTGCGGGGACAGGGGACATGTCTGGGGACACCTGGGGCTGCGGGGACACACATGGGACATGGGACACGGATGCATGTGGGTCGGGGGTGCAGGGACACGTGTGAGGACACAGGGATGAGGACACACACGTGGCACTGGGGTGAAGGGGACGTGTGTGCGGGGACAAGGGCACAGCGACGTGGTGGGGGTACATGGACACGCCAGGACATACGGGGTGGTGTCTTCTTCCTCCCCTCCATCCCCTCTTCTTCCTTCTCCTCCATCCCCTCCTCATCCTCCTCCCTCCCCTCCTCCTTCTTCATCCCCTTCTCCTCCTCCCTCTCCTTCTCACCCTCCTTCATCCCCTCCTCATCCTCCTTCATCCCCTCCTCCTCCTCCTTCATCCCCTCCTCCTCCTCCTTCATCCCCTCCTCCTCCTCCTTCATCCCCTCCTCCTCCTCCTTCATCCCCTCCTCCTCCTCCTTCATCCCCTCCTCCTCCTCCTTCATCCCCTCCTCCTCCTCCTTCATCCCCTCCTCCTCCTCCTTCATCCCCTCCTCCTCCTCCTTCATCCCCTCCTCCTCCTCCTTCATCCCCTCCTCCTCCTCCTTCATCCCCTCCTCCTCCTCCTTCATCCCCTCCTCCTCCTCCTTCATCCCCTCCTCCTCCTCCTTCATCCCCTCCTCCTCCTCCTTCATCCCCTCCTCATCCTCCTTCATCCACTCCTCATCCTCCTGCCTCCTCTCCTCCTTCTTCATCCCCTCATCCTCCTCCCTCTCCTTCTCACCCTCCTTCATCCCCTCCTCATCCTCCTCCTTCTTCTTCCCCTCCTCATCCTCCTTCATCCCCTCCTCATCCTCCTTCATCCCCTCCTCATCCTCCTTCATCCCCTCCTCATCCTCCTTCATCCCCTCCTCATCCTCCTTCATCCCCTCCTCATCCTCCTTCATCCCCTCCTCATCCTCCTTCATCCCCTCCTCATCCTCCTTCATCCCCTCCTCATCCTCCTTGTGTGCACACGCGTGTGCACATACACACCATGGGGTCACACACGCGTGTGCCTGCGCACACGCTGCTGGGTTGCACGTCACACACGCGTGTGCCCGTGCCTGCCCGCAGTGTCACGCGTGGGCTCATGGCTCTGCACACGCATGCACACGCAACTGAGGGGCGAGAAGGGGAGAGGGATAGAGAGCAGGAGGAATGGCGGGATGAAGGGGAGATGGAGGAGGGGTGAATGGAGGGCTGGATGGCGGGTGATGGAGGAAGGATGGAGGGAGGGATGGATGCAGGGATGGAGGACAGTGGAGGAAGGATGGAGGGATGGACGGAGGGAGATGGAGGAAGGATGGATGGAGGATTGGAAAGAGGGAGGGATGGGTGCTGTGATGGGCCATGTCTCTCACCCTCCCCACAGCCCCCCAGCCCATCTCCCTCTATTTTCCCTCTTCATCCATCTCCCCACTGCCTGCCTCCCTCCCTCCACTGACCCTCGCCAGCCCCCCAGCCCTCCTTCTGCTGACCCTCTCTGTCCATCCTCCCATTGACCCCCTCATCCCTCCCTCCAGCCCTTGGCATCTCCCATCCCTCTACTGACCCTCTCCAGCCCCTGAGCTCTCCCCTTTGCCCTCTATTGACCCTCTTCATCCTTCCATTGACCCTCTCCCTCCCTCTGTTGGCCCCCTGCATCCCTCCCTCCATCTCTTGACCCTCTCCATCCATCCCTTGACTCCCTCGATCCTTCTGTTGATTCTCTCCATCCCTCCATCCCTCCCTGCCTTGACCCCCCCCAGCCCTCCCTCCCTCGTCCCCTTGGCTTCCCTCCCTCCACTGACCCTCTCCATCCCTCTGTTGCCCCGTACCTCCATTGATCGCCTCCTTCTCTCCCTCCATCCCTTCGAACCTCTCCCTCTAGCCCTTGCCTCCTCCCTTCCATTGACCCTCGCCAGCCCTCCCTTGACCGGCTCCATCCATTCCTTCACCGCTTGACCCTCTCCCTCCCCCACCGACCCTCTCCCCCTCCCATCCATCCCCTCCCATTGACCTTCTCTCCCCCCCATTGTCCCTCTGTCTCCGTGGACCCTCTC